GGGGGGTGGGGGGGGCGGGGCGGGATGGCGGAGTGGAGCGGGAGGCGGCGGCGGCGCTTTTAGTACGCGCGGGGCCGCGCCGGCCTTAAAGGGGCCGCGCCCGGCGGGGCGGGGGAGGGAGCGGAGCCGGGAGCCTGCCTCCCGCGGCCCCGTCCCGGCCAGAACTCGCCCCCCTTCCGCCGTTATTCGTGTGCTTGGTTATTATTGAGCATTTTTGGGGGTCTGTTGTAGGCTCCTCCTTGCAACCGAGTCCTGCCGCGCTAGGCAGTTCATGCATAACTTGGTGCCGGCGCGTGTGGTACTGCCGCGGTAGCATTCCCGCCGGCTTTTGCAGGATCAGGGCCAAAAAGGGCTAGAGGCCCTGCAAAAAGGGATACTAGCCCTGGCTCCGGAGGGAATTTTTTTTCTTTTGCAAAATAAAGGCACATTTGTACGTTTTTTGTTTTAAGGGTGTGCATAGCTTTAACACGATGTAAGCCGAAATGTCTGACTTGCTGGCATGTTAATTATTCTCTAACGTTTCTCGGTCAAACTGAAAGTCATCTATTACTCCTCAGCATCCTCATTTTCACATCGTATTTTTCTACTGGAAAAAGGCCGAAGTGGCCTTTTTTTGCTTAGAAATGAAATGGCGCATGTGTGTTCAGAGGTGAGAGGTGGCCTGAGAGAGGAGCCTTCCGCTGGGCTGTGTGATGCGATGCACGTAGGCTGCAGAGGGCACGACTCCCCACCTTGCCTCTTGCGCTGCTGAGGCTGCAGCGCAGCTCTGCTGCTTCAGATGACTCACGGGAAGAGGCTAAAGAGACTCAGGCCCAGAGCCCTCTCCACACAGACATTTTACACGCAGGAATCGAGCACGTGCTAATTTTTAACAAAGTCCCAGCGCTGCTGCTGCTAGAAAGCTTGACCATGCATGTGTGTTATGCATGTGAACACACAGGCCTGAACAAAGAATAAGGGATGGCATTGTGTGGAGCGCTTTGGAGTGGCACAGGCTATAACACTGAGATCTGGCAGGACTGGAGCACTTATTTTTTTTAGTGATTAACAGCACTATTAAGAACTAATATCATCGGCTCCCTGCCATTGCATAGTGCCACGTATTCCTCCCACCTTCCTGCCTCCCAGAGTTGTTGCATGGAGGTAGGGTGGGAATTCTGGCAGCGCAGGGAGAGAAACTTGAGAGCAATGTCACCACGGGTGTGCTTGCTCTGTGGCCTGCCAGGCCCAAAGCGACAGACCCTGGCCATGCTGCCACACAATGGAAAGGCATCCACAATTTCATTCTCTTTTGCCCTTTTGACTAAGGAAGAAGCAGTGCGTACATTTTCATAGCTTCTAAAGATGCATTTTTAGAGGTTAACCAAATACCAGTGTGTACGTATGCACCCCTCCCTCATGGGATTGCTCCACACTCATGCATTCATAATACATTTTCCAGATGCGCAGCATGAGTTTTAAAACACAATTGCTTGTGATTAAAGTAAGAACAATGAAGAAATGTGTCTAAGAGCAAAAAAATGAAAGGTAAAATGTTTTACAGAAATATATCAAGGAGCACTCTAATGATGTCCCAGAGACAGAGGCAAAGACAGCTTTTACATGCCCTATTAGAGAGTACAAGGATTCTCAGCAAGTAGAGGTGGTCTTAACTGTACTCGTGCCATGAGGTACCTTAAGAACTCACATTTCAGGGTTTGGATGCTCTGAGAGTAAGACTGAAAGCATCTAGCGTAGAAAGGCTTGTGAAGGTACGTGGGGCAGGCTGAAGCCTCTCCTGGAGGCTGACTGCAAATGGCAGGGCTGGGGCACTCACAGGTTGCAGTTGTACACACTCACCTGCGTCACAGTCAAAACCTGAGCACAGAGCAACTGGACCAGGGAGGAGGAGCCAGGAGAGCATCAGAGAATGCTGGTGCTGTGGCTGCAAGAACGGGCAGAGGCAGCATTCTTTGAGCAGGTGCCTCTACGAGGAAGGCAGATTGATTTCTGGAGAAGGAAACTGCCTCCCCATGGAAGGCCCTGCTGTGTTTAGGGGCTCTGTAGCAATTCTGCACAAGCAGTTCTGCCAAAAGACTACCTACCTTGTGCCATGTCTTCCTTCCTTGGGCAACTCTGCAAGGCATTAAGTGGAATGAAAAATATTTAATAAGATATACTGTACTTAGATGCTAAGTAGCATATTGCTTCATTGGCTGTGCTGCTTTGATTCACCAAAGCAGCTTTCATTTGTTACCTCAACAAAACATTTTTGCAGGTTGAGGTACAGGCTTGTATTTAAAGACTGTGGCTGCAAAGCAAAGCTGTGATAGGGA